GTCATGTCTGCTCTTTCTGCCCTACGGTGTCCGTGTTCCAGCCTGGTAGATGGCGCCCTTCTACACACACGGGCCTGTCCTGCTGGGCCTGCACAGAGCAGGAAGTGGGTTTAGCAGCGACACGCTGAGCTGCCATTTTGCATTTGCTTTGTGGTATTCTAAACTTTCATAAAATTCACCTGCTTGTATTGGCACCAGATTTGCATCAGATCAGCTGTCAGAGTGGGACCCTCTGCCCCCTCTGAGCTTTATCCCTGTGTAAAAACCAAAATTACCCCAACGGTCTCTGAGAAACTTCCATTCTGTAAATGCTTGATGAGTGAGATTACTTTCTCAGTGAGAAAAGAAAGCTTACACTGCTAATGTGCTGTGATACTAACACATAGTGGTACTAAAACTCAGGCATTACAGGTGTTTGGGAAACCTGTGGATTTTCAGGTCATACCCACCACCACCACCACCACCGCCTCAATGAGACAGGGATTCCTGTGTCTGAGGAGAGGCCCAGATACGTGTCTTTTAACAACACTTCCTCATAAATCTGGCAGCTAGTTAGCCATGTGTTTAATATATTGGTAAAAATGAAACTGAAAGGCCCCTTAGTGACTCTGAGAGGCAGTCTCCTGTGGAGATGAAGAGCTTCGATGCTGGAGCCAGACGGCCTGGGATTGAATCCCACGTCTGCCACAGTTGCTCAGAACTTGGCAGTTTGTCTGTCTGTAAAATGGGATATAATGGTGTGTATCTCATGGCGGGGGCAGGGGAGACTTGTGGCAGCACAGTGAGCTATGACACGTAAAACACTTTATATGGGCCTGGCTCAGTTACCACTCAATAACTTCTAAGTACGTACTATTACCCTTGTCACTTGTATTCTGCTTCCAATATATTGTTCTGAATCCTATGGAAAAGAACACGTTAGTGAATTTCAGAACATCCCATAAAGCAATGTAGAATAAGTAAGCGGGCATGAGAGAGCATTGTGCAGACTCGAACACCGTTAGACCCTCATTTCCACCCCACGGAAGCTGTTATCATCTTACCCTAACCCTCTGTTTCCTCATCTGCCAAATGGGAATGTTAATATTCCCTATAGCACTGCGTTGTTGTGGAGTATGGATGAGGCCTGTAAAAGGGAAACAGACTCCTAACATATAGTCAGCACTCGGTGGGTGGTATCTGTCTTCAGTATTGTTATAGTGTATTCTGGGCATGTTTGTATGGGTTGACTATGAATATCCAATTATTTACATAAGCTCGAAGGTTTCTTTTTAGCCTATTCTATAGGGAAAGGATGAATTGGTTTAAATATAATTAGTATATTATTTTGGGTTAACTGACTAATTATTAATTAGTACAAATCAGCTTAAAATACTAATAAGTCATGGGTATATATGCAAATATATATATACAATATATGATATATGCATATCACAGAGATAGATAGATTCATTGATTCGGTTATCCAGGCTTAGGAGCAAAGGGGGGGAGAGTGGAATAATTCAGGGGAGGTTTTTCTGAGGAAAGGGGTTTCTAGTTCACGCTGAATTGTGAAGTTGATGAGAAATTCGCCAGGATACCACGGGAGGAAGGAAGGAAGAGAAGCGAGGAGTAGCCTTAAGAAAAACACGTGTTGCCTCACTCGTGTTGGGCTGGAATGTGCATCTGAGTGGGTTGGGGTTACTGGGGAGAGAACACAGAGTCTAAGAGATAAACTGGAGCCAGCCCGGGCCTAATGAAGAAGCCTTGGTAAAGGGTTTGAATTGTTTCTTGAGGGCAGCATTGAGCAGTTGCTTTTTTAAATAGGGGAGTGAGAAGCATCAGAGGCGCACAGCAGAGAAAGGATGGTACTGCCTTTGTGGAGAAGGAACAGGAGGGAGCCAGACGATGGGCAGGGACCCACCAGAGCAGGCTGGCATAGAAGTCCCGTGCTGGTGGCCTGGACTAGAAGTTAGCAGCTCCCTGGGCCTCAGTCCCACGTGAAGGCAGGCGGGGCGGCGCTGCAGACCCGATTCTGGTAGGGAACGATTAATATTGCCTGAGCCTGATGCTCTAGGACGTACCCCTCTCCCTGAACTCAGTGAGATCCTTTTGGAAGTTGCATTAAGTCTCTCAGGCCTCCGGGGTGCCATTTAACGCCTGCTTCAACATACTAAATGGATAGAAGCTCAGCCTGCAGCGGCCAGCAAATGAGTCTAACTTATGTTGAGCCTCCAGCTAATGTGCAGTCTTGGAAGTAGCATTAAGTCTGGGAAGTCACTTGGGGACCATTTGGAGTACTGAACTGTGATTTACTTGGTCGTGCCTCCGTGGCCTATATGTGCCAATATAGCTTCCATGGTCTTTTCTGCTTTGTTCCAAGGAACAACTTATGGAATGAAAACATCCATTTTTAAAATATATTTTCTTTATCTTATTCATTTTCTTGGCGGGTAGGGATTATTGAGGTCAGTATTTATTATTCAGAAATGTGCAGTATAAATGAAAGTAGCAAGTCATAACCTAAAATTGTGTAGTTTAAATGAAAGTAACAAGTCATAACTCAAAGTAATTTTTCCTATGAAATGTACGTGATAAAGTCTTTTAAAAAGCATTCATAGTCACACACGTCTGAAAGAAATTTACATTTTTTTACAAGGAATTTTTAAAATGTTCATTATAATATCCATATTAATTGTTCACTGGTGTGTAAATAAAGAGTGAGCCATATGCCTATGAGGTCCGATGTTTAAAAAAATATCATGAACCATTTTATTAATAAAATACAGCTATCCTCTGCATTCTTTGATTGCAGTCATCCTGATAAGTCCTCTGAGGTCCAAGACTATGTCTTAGTCATCGTTTTATCTCCATCTATCACCATGAGCCCCATATTCAGTAAAATTAAGAAGGATGAGATTGGCACAAGAAAATAAACATTAATATGGAAATCTTACCTATCAAGAGCCCAGTGTTTGTGGTAGAATAAGTATTAGGAGTGTGAGAGCCCTCTTCTTATCTATCATAGGTGTTCTGGGAACTTTGAACAGTTGGTATTCCCGAAAGATACAAGTGAAGAAACCTCAAATATGAGTCTGTGTGATAACTAAATTTGAAACAGTCTTAGGAAACATTTTCCCTTCTTAATGAAAATAACAAATCCTTGGGTCGGGTGTTCAAAGCTCAGAGATGTTTGATAAGAAAGTAGAAAAAGAATTTTAGAGATGCAAAGAGATTATGTCCTGTTGAACTAGTTTGGGAAAGTAAAAAGAAAGAAAAGATATGTAAATACAGTGGAGAATTTTATAAATGTTTGCTGGAAGAAGCAATAACAGTTGCTAACATTTGTTGACACTGTAGATTGTTCTTTGTGCTTCACAAAACATTACCTCATTTGATCTGTTTAAGAAACCCTATGAGGTAGAGAAATTAAATCTTAGAGTGATTAGGCAATTTGTCCAAAGTCCAAACAGCTCATAAGTGATGAACTGGAAACTCTGTTTTTTGACTCTTAAGCCAGCACTTAAATGTTCAGTAGCAAGTAAATAACTGGCATATATTAACTTCCACATCATACCCGACGGCATCTGTGAATAGCTGGTTCACACTGAAGACTTCCTCCTTGAACTGCCATCACATTTACTGCCTATAGCACTCATTTTCCATAAAATTTTTAGTTTTAAAAAATGGTTTCTCCATATACAGAAGCAACACAGGTTCTGAGTAGAAAATTTTTCAGTGTACATTGGCTTCATGAATATTATGTGACCGATGATTGTACCTCTCCATAGATAATATTTCTGAGATTTTTGTGCTTTTTAAATTTGTTTTATGCTTCTAAAGGTATTTTCTATGAGATTACCAAAAATATTTTGTTTTAGTTTTTGCTTTAAGAAAAGAGTATGACATGTTTTTCCCTATGTCATGAAACATCATTATAATACAATTTCAATAGCTTCATAGTGTTCCGTTTTCTGATTAATACCTATTAAAAATGTGGGGATGTTTTCTGTGTTCTATTATCAGAAACAACACTGAAGAACATGTTTGATAACTATCTCTGTGTATAAATCCATTCTTTTCTTTTTTAGAGCAAATGTCTGCAGTAAAATTGCTAGGTTAAATGGTACACAAAATTTCTTAATCATTGACCAGATCACACAACAGAAAGGTCGTGCCTATTTAAATTCCCCATTTTGCAATGTATGAATGACATGTTTTACACATTTGCCCATTCCTGATCTTGTCTTTTCAAAAATCTTTGCCAATATGATCATCAAAATTACTACATTGTTGTTGCTTTGATTAGTTTGACAGTAAGATAGTAAATAAAGCGAAGGACAAAAATAAGATTTGCTCTTGGGTTTGGATCCTGCACAGTGCCTTCTGTTAGTTGTTGAACACATGTAGACATTCAACAAATAGAATGTCACCCAGACAGCACGTGGTAATCCATAAAACACTGACCATATTCCTCTCTGGTCTTTGTTTTATCAAATACTTCAAGTACTTCCATTCATTCATTGCAAAATAATCAACTTTTTCAGTGGACCATTTGACGACAATTACAAGTCTGAAAGCACTTTCATTTCTTAGAAGTAGCCTCACAGTTTTTGAGTTTTCAAGAACTTTAAAGATCATCTAATTGGATCCTGTCATTTTACATTAAGCACACTTAATATAAATATATGAAAAATCCTGTTGTGTGTTACAAATCAAAATGGAAATCTCAGTGTCTAATCTGTTGGCACAAATGTATAACTTTGTAGTTTATATGTGTTATTCATGTCCTCAGAAATTTAAACCTCTCTGCTGTTTAATCTTTTTTCATATAGTGAAACTAAAATTGTCAACCATTTTAAGAAAATGAAATGTTAGCCATGGCAGTGGGTTCTGGGTTTGAAGAGAAATCGAATGCATTTGCAATGAACTCCAACTCTGCTTTATCTAAGTAATAATTTCCTATAAGTACATTATTCTACATAGCTTAGTCAACCGTATTTCTTTTCATTTTGTTTTAGGTAGCAGTTTTACAACATCATCAGGATTATATACAGGAAATAATTCGCTCACAAATTCCTCCGGATTTAACAGTTCACAGCAGGTAATTTTAAAAGCCAATTTAACTTCTGAAATGTAAAAAATGCAACCGATGATTTTCTCACATAAAAAAGAGCTGCTTCTAGTTCACTAGAAGTGAGAGCTTTCCTAAGCCTTTTAATGGTTTTGGGTGGCTTTTTTTTCCTTTCTTTCTTTTAAAAATTTCTGTGGCAGTCTTACATGGTGAGTTGTCTGATTTTCAGATTGGTTTAATTTTCCCGAGTCATGTAGCATGGCATGAAAGAAATAGAAAAAGTGTATCAGAGCTTACATAACATTTGTTTGCAAGTCTGAGCACTTCGGGAAACGTGTGCTTGTGTGTTTCTATATAAATTCAGAAGACACACAGACACACAAATGTATTTGTCGCTATACTTTGAAGAGTAAGAACTCAGCAGCTGTGTTCTGACCGCCGATTCTCGTGTGGTTCGATTGGCAGGACTATCCATCTTACCCCAGCTTCGGCCAGGGTCAGTACACACAGTATTACAACAGCTCACCATATCCAGCCCATTACATGACGAGCAGCAGCACCAGCCCAGCCACACCTTCCACGAATGCCACCTACCAGCTCCAGGAACCACCATCTGGCGTCACCAGCCAAGCCGTTACAGATCCCGCGGCAGGTAATGACGTGCATTTTATTAGGCCTGCAGGCTGTATTCCTGGTGGTTTAAAGGCATTTTTCTACGGTCGTAAGTTGATGCAGCGGTTGCACAGTTTGGGCAGATCTGCACAAGGCCTACCTATAAGTCAAGCAGCGTGATCGTGGCGTTGACTTTATTTGTTTAAAATTGTTAGTATAAAGTGTGTAAACTTCAAATGCACATGAAATAGAGGTTGTATTTAGTTATTCATGTATACAGTTTTCAAGGTAGATACAGCTTTTGAGATGCATGATTCTAAGTATTTGGCTTTCATTCTTAGCTATAATTACAACTTGCTGACATCTTGACCATGAAAATAAGTGACGTCACCTTGCCTTTAATGTGTATCATCATTAAATGGCTAATGTGTTTTCAAAAATCAAATGGCATCAAAAACAGTTGGTCGTGACAAATGGCGAGACCCCTGCAGACCCTTTCCCACTCAGAGCCCACTGTGGATTTCCTAACTATATGCCTGAGCGTGCGCTTTTTCCACACTTCTGCACAACCCTTGATGGGACCTTTCTCGGGAAGTTTCCCTCCTTCTTCTCCTCTATCAGTTCTTTCTGGAACTCGTAAGATTGTTCCAGATGCTTCATTTCCTGAACGGGTACTTCCCTAAGCTTCTTTTGCTCTTTCTCTCATACTTCTCACATCCTTGTCTTAACATTCTTAAACATAATCTCTCCTTTCATGGATTCCGAGATGAGCGATTTTCCTCCAAGAGCCAGAGAGTTTTCTTTCTTTGCCCTTTACTCCTAGAACCAAAGCCCACTCTATTGCTGAAAGTCAGGTTCAAATAAATGGTCTGACATTGAGAAAGACCTACTCCTATGGCATAGCGATCATAGAGTGTTCATTCGAGGTGTTTATCCTAAATCATGGGGGGAGGTTTTATATAACAGATACTAATTTTAATTTTGACTATAGGATTATTTTGTAACGATTAGCAGGTGATTACCCAAAATAAAACTCCTTTAAGTTTTTAGTGTTCTACCTTTTCTCTTAAATTTAGTGTTTTATTCAAAGTAGGAAGTCCATCATCCCTAAATTTGTGATCCAACTAACTGCACATACTCATTCTTTCTGCTGCACATCTCAACTCTAAACATTTTTATCTTTGATCCTTATATTCCATTTACCTTTATTTTTAAAAAACTAGCCTGATAGATATTTTTTACTCACTTCACATGTGCAAATACAGTATTCATGGAACCTAGTATGCATGTCTCTTCTGTGTTTTAGATTCCACATCTGTGTAATCTCACTCAAAGTAGACTTTGTTATAGAAGATACTGACTTTTCTGTAGAAGTTATTGTAGAATTTTCATCCCTACTTCCAGAAACTTCATATAGGCATCATGAGGAAAGTTCACAATGGCTTGTCCCAACGTAAGGGAGAGCCTGTGTTTTCACATGAATCCCTGGCCCGTGCAAACTCTTGAGGACTAATAGGAGTTTGGAAATGAAGACAGCTATGCAAAGGAGAAGTAGAAAAACTCTTTAGGGTCTGTGGAATAACAGTGAGAAAAGGGAACAACAGAATAATTTTATTGAACTCATGGCATTTCGGTTGTGAAGAGTACAGTATAAAACAAACTGGTGGGACTTAATTATGTTTCTGAAATTAAGGTTGATTAGAGCGTTTTAGAAAAGACCATTTAGTCATATCATAAAAGTTTGTCTCTGAAATGTGACATTGTTCTAAGGGAATTTTATGTATAAAAGGGATGCCATGTGAAAGTAGGGGTGACTGAGCATAAAGCCATGCCATGTGGAAAACCGTGCAAAATTATAATTTTCAAAAGGTATATATGATTTTATTTTAAGAATTTATGATCTATTTTAGGTTTGGTTTGAATAAAGGCTTTGTGTTTTAGGTACTTTTTTTTTTTTAAAGATTTTTATTGGGGAATTGGGGGATGGGGACAGTGCTGGGGAGTTGGGGGAAGGGGAACAGACAAGTTGCTGTCGTTTTGTTCTTCAGTCTAGTTGTGGAGGACGTTCCTTCACTGGCCCAAGTTGGCACTATCATTGCGCTCTTCCCGGGGGAGGCACATCAGTCGCCGGCTTCTGGACGGCCGCTCACACTGGCTGCTGGCCGCTCACGCTGGCTGCTGGCTACACACGGTAGCCCATGGCAACCCACTGCAGCAGGGGCTGCAGCCTACACCGTTGCCGGCGACTCATAGCAGCCCAGCTCCAGGTTGAGCTGTTGTTCAGCATCTTAGCTGTAGAGGGCAGTGTCACTGGCCCTCATATGTGGGATCCGAACCCTGGCCCTCTGGCGTCCCAAGCCAGTTCTTAACCATCGCGCCAATCGCTGGCGTCCCAAACCAGTTCTTAACCATCGCGCCAATCGGCTGGCCCTTAGGTACTTTTTTCAATTGCAGTATCTTTATGGCTATAGAATTGGAATGATTTTCACTGGGAAGAAAATATTTCAGAAATTTCTTATATTCACCACTTGCCACTAAATGAATGTGAATGGGTAAGGCTTTCTTGTGTCACATAGTTAAAAGTGGAAAGTTCAGTGAGTTTCCACATTGTAAAAGAAATGTAGATTACTTTAAAAATTCAAGGAATATTTAGTCTGGATTTTTTGTTTTGTTTTGTTTTACATTTGTGGTAAGTCTGTGGATTCCGCCTCAGTTTTTTGGTGTTACCCTTCCTTCCTTAGTAGTCACATATAAAATTATAGACTTGTCCTTGATGAAAAGGAAGTTTGGTTGATAAAGTACAGAAATTTATTAAACTAAAAAATTAGAAGGAATTCTTGATTACGTATAGCCTAATGTTCTTGTTTTGAGATAGAAATAAAAACAGTTACAATGATACCCATTTTTTGTTGAAATAATTTGAGGCGTTTTTCTCTTTTAATTTTAATAGTCTATAGCAGTGTTTCTCAACCTTTTCAGGGCTCGCCTAAGACCATCGGAAAACACATATTTTCAATGGTCCTAGGAACCGAGACACTGCTCCTCTATCCGTCTCCAGGCCCACATGCAGATACGCCCACATACGAGTCCCCGGCGACCCCTGTGAAAGGGTCGTTTGACCCCCAAAGGGGTCGCGACCCACAGGTTGAGAACCGCTGGTCTATTGCGTTTAAAGTCAGTGTTTTTTAATGCCGGAAACTTAGACTCTAAGCATTATCTGGTCTGATGTATGGCCAGGATTCTGACTTTCAGTTTCATGGAATTGTGCAATATAGATGAATGCATAACACATGTAGCCCTTCTTCCATACTTTAAGATATTTGTTTTTGTATTGTTCATAAAGCTGTTATGTCATAATGAACACATAAAGATAACTTTGTAAGGTTTTTTTCAGGGCAAACATGTAAGGACTCATTTGTTTTTATATTGTGCATTTTTCAAGTTGTATGAAGGATAGGTATCTTTTAAGTCCATGATATTATTCAGTACTACTTGTAAACATGGACCTTCTCGTGAATCTTAAGCTCAAAAATTATGTTTATAACTATATATTGAAAGCTGTATTCTCCTTTAGATAGGCATATGTAATATAATAAAACAACATAACTTGAATATGAAAATTTAATCTCAAATTTTTAATTCATTTAAAAAACTAAAAACAGTGCATTTGCATTCATTTTTGTTTATTCTTATTGAGATATAATTGACAGAGTATATTAGTTTCAGGTATGCAGCATAATAATTCAATATTTACATATATTGTGAAACGATCACCACAATAATTCTAGTTAACATTCATGACTACACGTAGTTACAGATTTTTTTTCTTGTAATGAGAACTTGGAAGATCTGCTCTCTTAGCAACTTTCAAATCCTTTACATTTGTTTTTTAAAATGAGCTTGTTAGTTATGTTTTGACTATCTTATAATAAAATTTACATCATCTGGAGATATGTAAAAAATCCATCTACCTTGAGAATACAATGGGGCTTGCCTGGTCATTCAGCAACATTTTAATTTGTCTATGGAATTTAAGAAAATCATGCTTACCATTCACCTAGCAATGCCAGTCTCCCCCCCTGCAATTGGAGGACATCTTGGTTGCTTCCAATTTTGGCAATTAATAAATAAAACTACTGTAAACATTTGTGTGCAGGTTTTTGTATGAACATAAGTTTTCAGTTCATTTGGGTAAATATCTAGGAGTATGATCACTGGATTGCATGGTAATAAAATGTTTAGTTCTATGAGAAACTGCCAAATGGTCCTCCAAAGTGGCTATACCATTTTATGTTCCCACTGCAATGAATGAGAGTTCCTGTTGCTCCACATCCTTGTGAGCATTTGGTGTTGTCAGTGTTTCAGATTTTGGCCAGTCTGATAGGTGCACAAGTGGTATCTAGTTGTTTGAGTTTGCGTTTCTCTAATGAAATATAATGAGTATCTTTTAATATGCTTATTTGCCATCTGTATATCTTGTTTGGCGGATGTCCTTTCAGACCTTTTGCCCACTTTTTAATCAGGTTGTTTTCTTATTGTTGAGTTTTTAGAGTCCTCAGTACATTTTGGATGCAAGTCCTTTATCAGATAGGTGTTTTGCAAATACTTTCTCCCAGTCTGTGGCTTGCCTTTTCATCCTCTTAACAGTATCTTTTGCAGAGTGGTTTTTAATTTGAATTAAGTCCAACATGAGTGTTTTTTTTTTTCATAAAACATGCGTTTGCTTTTATTGGGTTGTCGGAAAAGTCATGATTCATTTTTGCAATGAAAAACATAGAAAAAAATACGTCATCACTTTTCCGACAACCCAATATATGTAAAAACTAATTGCCATGCCATAGGTTTTTTCCGGTTATGATCTCGAGGTTTCATAATTTTGCATTTTACGTTTAGGACTCTGATCCATTTTGAGTTAATTTTTGTGAAAAGTATAAAGTCAGTCTCTAGATTTACTTTTTGCAGGTGGATGCCCAGTTGTAGCATCACTTGTTGAAAAGCCTATTTTTGCTCCTTATTCAATGGAGCAATTCAATTGCATTT